TCAGTATTAAGGATTTTGCGAAGTTTATATTTAACGCTACAGTGGTTGAATGGCAAGCAATGACGCATTTCCCTAGAGGATAATCGAAATGTACCCTTCGAGGCACGTGTGGCGTAGTGGTTGGAGGTGCCCTGTAACACATACGTGGGGTCGATCCCGGTGCCGCTGGCACACCAAGCCTTCCATCCATCCGGGTTCGGCAAATTGGTACCAGACTTGTCTGGGACGATAGCAGCACTGACTCGATACATCGGTAGACCACCGCGAGTCATTGGAAAGGCCAGATATGCATTCAATCATCTCCAAACGTTGTTTAATGAAGTCGAATTCACGGGGCATCCTTCACGGATTGATCAACGCCGAGAGCTTTGTCCTTTTATCCTTTTACCTTTCGAAGAACGGGTGATATAGAGGTAAGCAGGGAATGTAAAATTATAGCTGTGAAGGAAATGTTACCGCAAAATGGACTCTAAATATGAGCTCGGTCTTCATTGACCATGTTAGTGCTTTGCATCAACAGTCTTAGTAAACTATCCATCTTCGCTAACCCCAAATAAAGTTGTCCCTTGTTCGTTTGATCCGTTTCCGTTTTGCTTTTGTTGTTTTCTAAGCTGGTAAACCATGGTAAGCTGTGAGTGTTATTGAGCGAGAAAGTGATTCTAAACTTAAAAACACTCGTTTCGTGGAGAGATGAAGACTGTAAGTTTTTCATTTCAAGAATTTATTTAGTTTAGTCTGAAATTTAAGGTCTTCCTTTCGCTGAGGATATCGACACACGCACGGTTCCTGTTCCCGTCATGTTTACCAATAATCGGGTATAAACTCAATAGAATGATGTTAGGCCAAGGAATCTCTGAAATAGGTCTTCCGTTTATTTGTTTTATACAATAAAGGAGAATGTAAGCGGAAACCTTGTGTCGAATTTTCTCAGTGCGGAGGTTCCTGAATGGGACCTTCCTAAATAAGAAGCGTTCTTTTAAATACTCAATGTTTAGATGGAGTTCAAGCTTCATTGCGATTTATGTGATACTCTCACCGTTACTATTAGTATTAGAAATGCTTACAAATTAGCGGATGGACTGTCTATCGAGGACGTGGACGCTGTGACAGTAAAGAAGCATCTGTACTTGAATTACGTTCGTCTTTTGTAAAGTAAACAAGATTTCAACGATGCTGAGATATTTGCAAAACTCCGGACCGCAGTTGTATGCGGTGGGAAACGAACACGCGCTGTTGTCCTTACCGGGGAGTAACGCGTTCACCACCACACCATCCGGGTCCTTCGTTCCGCCTGTCTCTCAGCTAGTTTTATCGATCTTTTGCCATCCGGATGGTGTGGTGGTGAAGTGCGCTGCTCCCCAGTAAGGACAACAGCGCGTGTTCGTTCCCCATCGCATACAACTGCTGTCCGGAGTTTTGCAAATATCTCAGCATCGTTGAAGTTATATTTCGCAATGAATACCCTGCCGTTAAAAAGAGTAGGCAGTAAATAATAAGTTGAAATTGTAAGCAAGATTATTTGAGATACAACCACAGTGATGCTGAGATGTTTGCAAAACACCGGACCGCAGGTGTCCGCGGTGTTGAATGAGGACGCTATTACCCTTTTTGGGGGCTATCGCCTTCACCACCTCACCATGAAGGTCTTTCGTTTCGTCTTTCTCTCAGCTAGTTTTCTATGCACCAGCGTCATCAGCAATCGCTCATCAACGGAATTGATCTGGTGAGCACAAATCGGCATTGACTTCAGTTATGCTGAGGCTGTAGTCGAAATCACCATGAAAACTTTCTATTTACTGCCTACTGCAATTTCTCACGGTAGGTTGTTATGTAAGATACAACCACAATGGCACAAAGATATTTGGTATATAAATATATAAATATATACACATGCTGATGTATGAAGTATAGAGGTATGAGCGCTAACCCCGGAAAAGAGTAAGTATTCGAACCTCACCGCAGACAGCTGTGGTGAGGAGTTTTGCAAATATCTATGCATTATTGTGGTTACAATCAAGATTATTTCACCTCTAAACATCAACTGTGACTCACACAAGTCGAAATCCATTCGCGGTTTTTAAGCGCATATTTCATATTTTTCATACTTTAAAACATATCCTTTGCGTTCTTTTAGGCTTTTTTGTGCTATTCATGCGTACGCGTATATACATGCAACCATTCATCATCCGCTCACGATATTTCGGCACCTGGTAGCCAGTTCGGTAACGTATGTATATTCCTATGGACCTTTTCTATTTTATCATCCCAACCGCCCTACGTCATAACCATGATGTACCGTGGAAATTGAATGAAAGAAAAAAAAAACTTACTTGTAGCAAACTAGGTTGCACAACATCGAATAATGTCGGCGAAAATGGAGTGAGTGTTGTTCTCGTTCGAATAGGATTTGTGAAGGAACATGAGGAAGCTGGAGACAGTGAGCATAGTCTCTTGTAAGCATAAGAAAGCTTGTGCTTCTCATCAAATGGCTAAAAAGCGATGAACCGCAAGATGAGGCCGAACATGGTCAGACGAGGTTAGTGGTGACCGGTCACTCAAACAAGTGCTCCAACCGAAACTATAAAATTGTGAGAAAGTGTGGCTAAAGGTGTAGTGATGAGTCTCCTGCACTATTTCTGAATAGAGGAAGGAATCCGTAAACTACTTATTGATATACGATTGTTTCATAGGCTAAGATTGTTACAAGAGAAGGCCCATCTAAATGCACGAGTAGGTAAGGTTGACAGGTTTTGACGACGATATGGGTGATGATTTCCTTCTCATCCTATCATAACCGCAAATTACGGAATAGTGTAACCCGCGATACCTCTTCCTGGAAACCGATCGGCAAGAGGGCTCCATCACCTTTTGTCAAAAACTCGTAACTCTCAGGCATGGATATTTGGGAATCTCGTTGAAAATCACGTTTGGCGATCATTTGACATCTTAATAAAGAAAGGATACTACACGTCCTCACTTGCATGCAATCCCATACGTTAACCCTAAACCTTCTGTGTTTGTCGAGTGAGAGATAACGAAACCAATAAAAAAACATTAGCACCTCACGAAGGGTGAAAATCGATTATTTGAGTATCTGTTTCATCACTTGATTACATACAGACCATAAAGGTCGGAACTAGCGGTCAATATAGGAAATACTTGTAGTTAAATTGTTTTCGCACCAGCAAGAGCTTGATTTGTAGAACCTGCGACTTACGATTACTAAGCTGTGTATAGAAGGTGTAAACGACACTTTGTGAGCGCCTACGATTTTCCTATAATCCAATACCAATACGCGTATTCAAATGTACATGTATACTCATTTTTTATACGTTCTTGGCTACAGGAGTGTTCTCTGTGGTGGCACAACCGCACAAGACACTCCGATGTTAGTCATTAAGATGTTATTTCTACCAGAATAATCCACATATCACTCGTTAGCACTATATCTGCTTCATGATATCGCGGTACTATATAAGACATTCTAGCTGTCGAAAGCGACATAAGCAGTGAGGCCTCACGAAATGACCCCCTTCTACATCTGTGCCTTCCTCAGCGTTGCTCTAGCGTGTCATCACAATGGCAAAACCTACAAGGATGGCGACGAATGGGTGAGTGATTCAGAATTTCAGGAGGCATTTTCTATACGACTCGCTTTATTGTTGCAAGCGTCATGAAGAGCTTCGAACTTTTCGTTTGCTCGTTAGTTTTCTGTTTCTGGATCGTGGTCTTCTTTGTCAGTGTTATAGAATTCTAGTGGATTCCAGTCTCTGGAGTTTTGCTATGGTTAGGCTAGAAGGTTCGCTTTAGGATTGCAGTTAGTGAACTTTTCCACAAAAGTCCCTGGTTTCGATTTCCCGACCTCGAATGGTGAGAGGCTTGGTGACATCGGTGAAGAGTCGAACCAGCATTGTAGTCGCGACGAACTGCAGCATTGCGTTACTCGTTCTTTGAAGGTCCTAAATTTTTCCAGAACGAAACGAATTTTTTTAAACGAACTGTCTACACATCTGCTATGTGGATCCTAGCACTTTTCGCATTTGAATCTTTTTCTCACACTTATCATCCCGTAACGTCTTTCAACACGTTTCGTGTTATTTCGGCTCCAATTTCAGGATTTTGTCTTCTTTAAGAGCTTCGTTGGATGCTGCTTGATTTGATTTTAACTGGAGTTTTCTGATAGCCGGGCTAAAGCATTACCACTTGAACTGCATCGAGAACTGTACCCAGAGAAGTCCGACACCAATTTCCTGTGAGCGGACGGTTGAGGAGCTTGATGACCATGGTGTGGGGTCCAACCAACACCGTTTTGCGATGGGTGCCATCACTACTACGGCGCTGTCCGTCTCTTGAAAGTCTCAACAACATTATTCATTACAAAATTTTTCTAAGACATACAAAAGAATATCAATGCTGCGTGTCCATCCACTGTTACACATCTCAGGTTTAATTACAGCAAATGACGTACATTTTGATTACGTCTTTGTTACCAACTGCAACGGCAGCAATTTCTAAATTTAGACAAAAACAAGCTGGTTTTGTGGATGATTCAGAAATTTAACTCCCATTATCAGCTGATAAGATAAGACGAAGATAAGTTAAGATAAAATGAGATATGCAGTAAATTAGTGTTGTTTGAGTACTGAATGAATTTGCCATGCTGAAACGCAGCTTATCGGTTTCTTCTGGAGTTTTCGAGTGAATTCGACACCAAACCGCTTCTATATGCTCTTTAGTTAATCAGTTCTTGACTTTGGCCGAAATGGTGCTAGGTATATTAAACATTTACTTGAAAGGACGTCTGTGCATTCACCAATACCTGCGCTTCCTTGTACATACGACTTCTGTGTATTAAATTGAAGTAGACAAGCGAAGCAAGAGTGACTTCCCCGAAAGGTTCATAATGTCATGATTTTATCGTTAATAATCTGCCACCACTTGCTATTACCAGGTGCTTTTATCATTTTTATTATTGCTAGAACTATCATTACTATTTTTAGATTGACGGGGAAGTTTTTAAAGTGAGATGCATCATTGAGCCAAAAGGAGAGTGGCGTCTAAGCGTTGTCGAATGTGTTTCACCAAATGGAATTGCGGTACCGATTGTCATTGATAACAGTCGTTATTACTTATATCATTACTGCTACTACATTATATACAATTATAAGTATAGACCTATAAAGTGTCTAAAAATTCAAATGTGAATTGTTTAGAAAGCCAACTAAGCCACATACCGCATACTTTACTTTGATACTTTGACGGCCCGCCCTCACTGGTTGTTCGGGCCCCAGCATAATCAACATTTTCCGGAGTTTTGCTGGTTTAGCCATTGTGCTTCTCTGGAGTTCAGAGCTCAGCCTGGCCAAAGTCTACCCCAGTTCGTCACCACCACAAGCAGTCGCCCTCCTTTCGATCAGAGGGAGATTTGCCACCATGCGACTTTGATATCAGGACAATTAGTTGAAATACTTGCAAAGAATAAAAAGGATCTGAAGAAGTTGAAATCTCCGAAACATCAGTGAACGTTTGCTAATAAATTTTATAATATCAACCTTGTGTTTGCTTATCAAATATAAACAGTTAATTATCAATCAATGTCGAAGTTAATAGGAAGTCGATCTTGGGTTTTGCCGATTAGTTGTTTTCCAATAATAAAAAAAAACAAAGCTTTTGGCGTTGACCAATCTCTGGGGGATGGGCTATGCATTTGACTTCATTAAATACCGTTGGAGGTGATTGAATGCATATCTGGCGTTTACAATGACTGGCGCTGGCCTACCGATGTGTCAACCCAATGGTGCTATCCTCCCAGACAAGTGTGGTACCAATTTATTGGCCCTGGGGGATGGAAGGCTTGGTGAGCCATGGGCGCGGCGGTCGATATCATGTGTGTGATGCAGGGCCCCTTCGACCACTGCGCTACACGCTTGCGTCAATGACTATGCTCCACACTCGTCTCCAATAATATCTAACGTAAATTCATTTTAATGGACGTATATTCTTTAAATTTATGCTCCTCTATTGCAAAAGAATGTCACGTGTTTGCCAATAACAGATCGAGAATACATGATGAATTCTTGAAGAAAAAGAGACCAAAATTTTTGAAGGTGCCTATGTGCGACGAAAGGATAGTTGATGGTCGCATATATCAATGCAAAAAGCATGTTAACGGTAGCGTTGATTTTCTACAAAGAGACGACACCAAAATTCCGTGTGATGGTCATCCATACGGTAAGTAAATTTTGTATTAGTTCTGTATATGTATGTATGCCAACTTTTTCAGTAAATAAGAGCAGAAAAAAATCTGCCGTGTGATTTTCTGGCAAACACAGAAGAGAATAACAAAGGCAAATCCTGAAAATATAGCGATAGTTTGAATTTTCGCAAGAAAATGCGTCGTGGTGGTTTTTCTGATAGGCTCGTGAAATCGTTGATTTCTGGAGCAACCTTGCAAACAAGTCGCGAAGAATCCCGTCGTGCTCAGAGCATGTGCCGCTTCGCTGGCAGCTCAACTCGGGGAGAAGATTGACTTTCTCTAGAATATGAAAGCACATTTGAAGTCTTCCCATTTTATTACCACTTGCCACCAAATAGTCATGTTTTTGCTGAAATGGTGCTGTTTTTTGGTACTGGTTTAATCGTAGCTGTTTTCCCGAATGTAAATTTACAATTCGTTCCCAGTTTGGGTAGCGGTGAGGTGACAAACATCTAGAGGAGTTAATACTTGTGCACTCAATAATTAATGGAATCATTGAGAAGAAGGAAATTTTAAAAAAAGCTGCATTTAATCGTGTGAACTTTCTTAAGGTTTTTAATAACTGGTAGAACACTTCCCACGTTGCCATATCCATATCGTCGTGACGGTTCTCATTAACAGATGCTCAGCGATGAAGACAATATCCGATGTGGACTCGCATGCTGAACACCCCTTTAGGAAAAATGGAGTTTTAAGTTTACAGCATACTTACTTTGATACTTGGACGGTCCGTCTTCATGAACTGTGCGGACCCCAGCACATATGCCACTCGTTCCTTTCTCTCACAATCGTAGTCTATGGTGGTGGTCTTCTTCGTGCATGATAGTGCGTGCGAGTCTCATACCGTGATCTGTAAAACAACAACAGCTGCGGTTACAGCTGATTGACTTTATTACGAGCACGTCCACCCAACGTGTAGGTGGTCGTCCAAGGAGACGTTTGCACTCTCTTGGAATCCACTCTACTGTTTTTTCGTCCATCTGTCGTCTGTTTTTCTCATTATGTGACCGGCCCATCTATGTTTCGCTGTCGATGTATATTTTCCTGAATCTCGAAGATGTGACAGATTTCGAAGGCCAAAGCTTCGCATTCCGGCTACATGTTGAGAGTGCCGGTTATATTTCAGAAGACATCGCTCAAGCGCTCTGTGAGTAGTTCGAAGCATTCTTGACGTAGTTGAAGTATCAAGTCACGTTTTTGTAGCATAACACAGCAGTGCTGGGAGGACCGTAGAATCAAAGAGATGTGCACGGATTTTCAGGTCCTTCAGTATGTCGGTGGCTTCTTTGCGAGACCCGAGTGCGGCCCAAGCTGCTCTCCTTTTCCTATCTAGTTCCTCCTTCATGCCGTTTTCCCTGTTCATTGATCGCCCAAAGTAAACGTACGAGGTGGTCCCTGCAATGAGAGAGCCATCCAATTTAATTTTTTCGCCCTCGCACTATGGGTTTTCATGAACTGGGTCTTCTTTCGATTTATGCGTAGTCCGGTCTTTTTCCCCGCTTCGTTGAGCTCGTTGATCATCATCTCTGCTTCGCTTGTATTTTTTGAAAAGATGAAAATGTCGTCGACAAAACGAAGGTTTGAAAGGAATATTCCAACAATACGTATGCCTTTCTCATTCCAATCGAGTGACTTCATTATCCACTGCAGTGCGGCACTGAGCGGCTTTGGCGATATTGCGCCGCCCTGGCGAATCCCTTTTCCTATAGGTATTGTAAGAAGTCGATGGAAAAGCTGTATTTTCGTTGTGCAGTTTCGATAACAGTCGAACAGGGTCCTTGTGTAGGATGGGTCCACTCTTTGGTCGACGAGCGCTGATAGGATTGCATTCGTTTCGACATTGTCAAACGCTTTCTCGTAGTCGATAAAGGTTAGGACTAGAGGCAAGTGGTATTTCCGACAAACTTCGATGACCCTGGATATGGTTTGGATGTGATCGATGCAAAAAAATCGTTTTCGAAATTCTGCTTGCTCGACTGGTTGCGCCTCACCCAATGTCTTCGATATGCGCGAGAGGATAATCTTCGTGAAGAGCTTGTAGAGTACACTTAGCAAGCATATGGGACGATAGTTATAAAGATCCCTTCGGTCTCCTTTCTTGGGTAGGATAACCGTGCGCGACGTCCTCCACTGGTATGGGATTTTTTCCTTTTGAAGGTAGCCTGTTATATGATTTGCGAGAAGTACATGTAAATTGTAGCCACCAGCTCTAAGGGAATCGGCAGTGATATTATCGGGTCCTGGAGTACCTCTTTTCATGCTTTCTATCGCAACTCGAGCCTCCGACGATAGAATTGTAGGTAGTTTTTCTCCAGCGGGGATGTTAGGGTCCGGGACGGGGATTGTGGAACGGAAAAGGTTGGTGTGGAACGTTTCCGCTATTAATTCCATATCATGGCGAAAAGTTTTGACGATCCCATCTTCAATGTTATACCTTTTTATTTTCTGCCTACTATAATTACGCGGCAGTGTACTAAGCGAAATACAAGCACAACGTTGCTGAGATATTTGCAAAACTCTAGACCGCAGGTGTCTATGGTGGGGAACGAACGTGCTATTGTCCTTTCCGGGGGTAACGCGTTCACCACCACACCACAAATCCCGCTGGCGGATGATTGCTGTGGCAAAGATCGATAGAAATAGCTGAGAGACAGGCGAAACAAAAGACCCGCATGGTGTGGTGGTGAACGCGTTACTACCCGGAAAGGAAAATAGCGCGTTCGTTCCCCACCATAGACACCTGCGGTCCAGAGTTTTGCAAATATCTCAGCAACGTTGTGATCCCATCTTCGTTCATCAGGGCTGACAGCGGAACATTATAATCAGGCAAGTCCTAACGGCATTTTTTCGGATAGCTTCTTTTCTCTGCAACCTCCAGTATTTTCTTCTGCTTGTACCGCTGTACCTGCAAAGCTCTTGTGCAGATGGTATTTATTACTAGCCATGTTAAACGTGTTACAGTAGGATCAAGCTTCAGTTTCTTTCTCTTTTCGGGCAACTCCTTAGTAGTGATGGAGATGCGATTTGATCTTCTTGCTTGAGGAACTGAGGCGAATTCGGCACAACTTTTCAGTCCTTCGACAAGCAGCTCATAGTCTTCGGTCAGATCTTCTTTAATCTGCCAGTCACGTTTGGACAGGACATCGTTCAGAATGTTCTCGTCGTATACAGCTAGACTTTTTCCTCGTGGTTGATGAAGAGAGCTCTTTTCCAGCTTGCGGCTGAATCGAATCTTCGCGCGATGTAGGCGGTGATCGGAACCAGTGCAGAATGACGAGACTACCGATATGTCAAGTGGGCACCATTTTCTGTTTGTCAGAATATGGTCGGTCTCCACATGAGTTATGCCGTTGGGAGACTCCCATGTCCAGCGGCGGCTTTCTTTCTTATGGGAAAACGAGTATCCATGAAAGAGACGTGCTGCTGACAGGAGTCGTGCGAGACAGTTCCCATTCTCATTTCTTTTTCCTAATCCGAAATTTTCGATCCTGTATTATCTCTCGTTGGCCTTTCCTATTCTGGCGTTGAAGTCTCCAACAACAAATTTATGATATGCTTTATCATTGCGGATGACTTAACAGTTGAAGATGGAGGACGGCTATGCGAAGACTATGCGAGTCTACAGCATAGATAAAGAATTTTTTATTTTAAACGATCCGTCTTTGCTTACGGATTTTTAAGACGTCTTGCATTCGACTTGCTTCCTAGCTTAATTCATTCATGAAGGTGCCCGAATGTTTCGCGTTTGGGTTCAGTTGCTGCTTGGAGTTGTCGTCTTTTTACGAATGTTCTCGAATACCGCTCGAGTTGTTTTTCCCTGGTACTCAGAGATAGGAGCGCTAGAGCTCTCCTATTTGGATTACAGTTAGTGAACTGTTTTCAGACGAGTCTTCTATCAATTTCTTGCAGGAGGAATAAGAAGTTTGTGTACCCGGTGCGCGGTCGTAGCAGAACCGAGGTCGCGATGTGTAACACCATTACGCGACCGTCCTCTGTCTACACATGGACCTTGCTCATAAGAAGTAAACCTGAGTAATTGTCGCTGTCTTAAAAGAAATTCGGTTTCTAGACAGAAAATCTCCATTTCATTCAAAATAACGAAGCGCATGTGTTCCCTATCGCTCAAAATTACTTCATTTCATGTCACAGCCTTCGTTTTCAGCAGGCTCGTCGAGCAACAAAAAGCAGTTCATGCTTAAAGCAAAGAAAAAAGATTTAGAATAAAAAAGCTGATGTTTTGCCACTTAGAATTACACAGCTTATAAGAAGTTTGACAAAAAATTTGTTGTGAAACGTGTAAGTAAAGGGATCTTCTTTAAAGTTATTCGGCAAAGAACTGTGTTGTTAGAAGAAACCACAGTAATTGTTAAGGAACGGTAAAGTGGACAAAATATAAAATATAAAACCTTATCATAAAACAAAATCGATGGTGGTCTTCTATCTCAATCAGATTGAAAACGTCACCGTGTAGATAACGAGATGGCGTGGATGACACCAAGCGCTTATTAACGGACTCACTCTCCCAGTTCAAAGAATGGAAACGAAAAGTAAAAATTTTTCGTTCCAGGTTCATTGTGGAAAGAGGACTCGCTACAATTTGGTTGTGGTAAGGGAGGTATGAAAGACTTCATGGGTTGCATCACATCATCAGGCATGTTCATTCCAAGTGGAGAGGTGAAATGGGTAAGTTGAATACAGATGATGTAATGAGGCTCAGAAGAAAATGTAGTTAGCTTGTCAATGAAAAAATATGTACGAAGAATGTAGTGTTCCACTATTGTTTTCAATAGAAAAAAAAGGCATATGATTTTCATGTTCAGTGATACTCGCCCGCATTACTTATTTTTTCGTTTAGGTGGATGGTGTCCAGATCGAATGTATGAGGCATGCTAACGGTACCATAATGATGAATGTCCTCGATAGACTCACTAGAACGACGTGCAAAGATAATAGAGGAAAGGAGAGAAATGAAGGTAACCTCTTAGTCACTTTAGCTACTGTCCTGATTATTGCGCCTGTACAAGAACTTGTTTGGAAAACAGGTGATTGCTAGTAGAGGTTGTTCATACAATGCAGTTATGCTATAAAAAGTAGTAGCTGACCTCTGAGTTAAGTTACTGAACAATAGTGAGGAAGGAGTAGAAAAGTGAAATAGTTTTTATTTCAGGTACAACATGGAATAAAGAATTACTACAGTATAGATGTGGCAAAGGAGGTGTGATAGAGTTGATGGGTTGTATCACAACTTCTGGACAGCTGATTCCAATTGGTACAGTGAAGTCTGTAAGTTCATGATGACTCTGCAAGTGGAGATAAAAGCTTATTTTATCACCTTCTTTACCATGAACGAAAATTCTTACATTTTTACATTTATTAATGAACATATCCACTGTCAATTTGTGCCATATAGGTGGACGGTTTTAACATGGAATGTATGAAGGAGAAGAACGGTGCCGTAGCGATGAAGCTTCTTGGTAAATCTAAATAAACAGTTGCTATTTGTTGTATTTTTCTACGAACTGATCTCGTTGAGCTGTTGCGAAGTTGCCTTAAGTTGTCATTGTTATTGTTGGTTGATGGCCGACGTTTCGGAGATTTCGATTTGCGCAGAGCTGTGATGTTACGAGTGGGACTGCCAGTTATCATTTGGCTGAACGTTGTTATGTAACAAATTCAGCGTCCTTAGAAGTAGAGAATTTTCTTCATTTTCTCCTGTATTATTCTGAAACTGTTTTTTAAATGCTTCGTAGCTATCATTCTGAGGGAAACTTTTCCAAATTTCTTCTACCATCTTTCCCAACGGTTTACTGCCTCATTGTGCCTAGGAGGTGCTCCTGGGTGTCGGGCTGTGATGTACAGCGAGGAGATTCATCCCTCAATAGGATCTCCCAAGCTGAGAGGGAGTCTGGCGTTTACATCAGGAAGCCCAACTAAGAGTGAGCGAATAATAGGATCCACTACCGTCTTGGTATATAACTACTCGCATGGTGGAAAATATCTCTCTGATCCACAACAGAGGCGTCTGCTCTAAGGTGTTGACGTTCTGGGCAAACTTTGGCCAGGCTTACCTCGGGAATCCAGCAAACCAGTAAGCCAGTAGAACTCCGAAAAAATAGAAAAATGCTAAAGCCCGCACAACCAGTGGAAATTGGCCATCCAAGTATTCAAGTAAGTATCCGTAGCTACCTGCTCTAGTACTTATTTCACAGCTGACAAGAAAAGGTTTAGCAATGCTTTGTTGGTATTGGCATACTTATGAAAAATAGTGGTCGAGAAGTAGATGTGAATCATCGAGCAAATTCATCAGTAAACTTGCTAACTCACTGTAAATCACTAAATCGTTGCATGGGCCAGATATGCATTCAGTCACCTCCGACGATGCTTGATAAAGTGGAATGCGTGGTGAATCCATCAGGGAGTGATCAACTTTGTTCTTTATCCTTCATCTCTTTACCGGAGGTGTAGGTTGCCGATAACTAGGCGATAACATTTATCGCATAACCTTTAGCACCAGTAATACCTGACAACATGCAAAAATAACCTGATCTTGGAAGGATAGGAGGTTATAGATTATCAATCTATAATAGTGTAGATCTAAACGTTTACGTAAATACAGGGGAATTTTTGCGAGTTTTTTCGTTTCTCTTCTCCCAATTCTACGAAATCTGTGGATTGTCTTGTAAGAGAGTTAATTAATCGTGAAAGTGCGTCATATGCTCGACGGTAGGAGAGTAGAACTTAAACACGGACTATGAAACTCGTCCCAAAATCTAGGTGGGCTCAATGACAGATTCCGTCGATGATGAGCCGGCAATATCGGCGTCGATACTGATGTGGTTTCCATCCAGCATGTCGACTCGACCAACATCCTGTAATCAAGTGAGTAGAATTTTCATGGGAGGTAGTTAGGTGGAGCTCCTGACACCTATCTTCAAAAGATATTGACACGTTTTTCATGAGGATACGCAAGTACTCATCACAGACATAGCTCCGCTAGAGAATCTTAGTTTGCCAGCTGAAACGGAGAACCTCCTAATGAAAAGTGAGCTCTAGGAGCTCACAGAGAGCGGTACCTACTAGACTGTCTTAACAGGAGAAGCACTGTTGTTTCGCTGTTACTGTCTACTTAATCAAAGAAAGTGAAGATGAAATGGGAAAGGGAGAGAAAAATAGAAATCACCAGTGTTGTTTTCAAAGCAGAAAAATCCGTCTCTGCATCATTCTAATATAATTTTCATGAAAACCGTCTATTTTATAAAAAGCAATAAAAGTTAATTGAAAAGGAAGTGTAAAAAATTTCAATTCACTACCGTGAATAAAAGGTTGAACGTATGAAGCCCATTAACATATTAAACACGATGCGACTCACCAGTGACTCATTTCTTTCCAACTGTTCATTTTGCAGCATAGAACTTTACTACCGCAATTTTTGGAATCATTCAATATCTTATTCAGCACAGATGTTCTGCTGACAAATGGAACTTTCTTGGGAAGCATATAATGTTAGGCACACCTAGATCTAATCCACACAACAAGATTCTGTTCGGAAAGCTAAACGCATTTAAAGCTTAGCTACTTATAATATAACTGTGCAAACACGCTTTAAAATAAGCGGAATAGTTCCGAACTAAGGAAAGAATACGACTAATGGCACGTCTAATCGAAATTCTGTTACAGCAGATGCTACTAGTGCCCTAAAATATGTCTTGTTTTGAATTCATATTAAAAAGCATTAGCCGTAAACCGCGACTTCTAACTTCCTTGAAAGTGCGAGGTATGTGAAGAGGATGTTCCAGTCTCCTCCATAGGTAGATATAAACGAGGAATGAAATGCTAACATCTGAAAAGTGTTCAGAGTGAAATCGTTAGCATTTAACGTTCAATAAGACCAACGAATCACCATTCTACAACGATATTAACATTGATGTCAAAAGTGGAGTTTGGCAAGGCGATACCATCTCGCCAAAATTATTTACCGCCACCCTTCAGAACGGCATGCGAACATTGGAATGGGATAATATGGGAGTGAAAATCGATGGTCGGCAATTACACCATCATCGCTTTGCTGATGACATCGTCCTTATAACACCAAGCATTAGCCAAGCGGAACGTATGCTTACCAACTTTGATAGGGCCTGTGGAAAGATTGGTCTTGGAGTGAATCTCACAAAAACGATGTTAATGAGGAACGGATTGGTTTCGTATGCCCTATTCACGCTCAAGGAAACGAATATCTCCGAATGCTCCAGTTATGTCTATCTAGGTCGGGAAATCAACATGGTGAACGACTTAGCTCCAGAGCTGATCGGAAGGAAACGAACGGCTTGGGGAGCTTTCAAGAGCATCGAGTATGTAGTGAAGAGAACAAAGAACACCCGACTCCGTGCCCACCTTTTCTACTCAACGGTACTTCCTGCTCTGAAGTATGCCTTAAAAACCTGGTCGTTGGGTAAGCAGGATGGAAGGTAACTCGGCGTTATCGAACGCGCTGTCGAAAGGACGATGCTAGAAACATCCCGGTCCACACTAGTAAAGGATGGGATCCGAAGCTCCGATCTGCGTCAACGATCAAAAACCAAAGATGGCGTTCTGTACGCCAAGCACTCGAAGATAAGGTGGGCCAGACACGTAGCGCGTATGAATGACAACCGATGGACAGGAACCGTTAGTGACTGGATTCCTCGAGATGCCAAACGTACTGCAAGAAGACCATCGACCCGACGGTCAGAGTTCTTCACAAAGAGCCTTGAAGAAGGATATGAAGCTCGACGAGTCCCTAGATCGAGCAGAACCGACTGGGAGACTCTTGCACGCGACAGGGAAAAATGGAAGATTTACTGGCGCCCGCTCGAGTCACTCGACGATCAACGGGACTAAAGGTGATACAGGTGGAGACCAACGAATGTATACGGAAAGATTTATAATGAGATTTACATGAGCTCATGACAACTGAAGAGCAAAATCGCTACAGAAACAGCTAGCACTAACTTGATGGATCAAAACACTGTGTCTCCTTAAATAAATGCCTACGATATCATCAAATTAAGATGGACAAGTGTGTGTCTTTCCGACCTTTCTTGTTTGTCGTGAACCAAATAATTTCATATTCACCGCTCTTAAAGAACAAGAGCGAATCCATACATCATATAATACCTCGTAATCAGTCATTCAAGGGCGGAGAGCACAGTGGTAGTGGTCTCCGTCATCACGAGCATGATGGTAGTTCCGTTCCACTCTAGGCCAATCAAACCTCTCACCCCTCCAGGGTCACGAAATTGGTATCGGACTTGTATAGGAAAAAAGCACTCTTTGCAATCCAATTGGAAACGCGCCAGCCCGGCTATCTCTGGACTCCAAGAAAAATTGCTCGACCAGCATTCTATGACATTTAATAACTCGAAAGAGCGACTTTCTGTGAACCTCGGCATAGATAGTTGATATATTTATTTATGTGATCTTATAAACTGATCTTCTTAAGCTGACGCGAGGTTGGTACAGATCTTCGTTGTCGTTGTCGTTGTTTTTGATGTTATTGATCGATGGCTGACGTTTCGGCGACTTCGCCTTCCTCAGAGCCTGGACGTATTAAATGTTAGAATATTTTTATTATTCGGTGAAAAAAAAGGTTAAAGTGTTAAAGAAGATCAAACTTTCAAATAAACGCCATATTGAACAGAAAGGCCACTCACCGTGATGTTAAGTGCGGGACTGGCCCACACGTAGTTCACGTGGAGTCGCGAGCAAGACACGCCTCGGGGTCAAAATATCATGGAAATAGGGTGCCAGGTCACGCGTGATGGTGAGGCATTCGTCCTTCCGGTTCATCTTTGGATTTTTAAAATTTATCCAAAACGCCTCTAGAGTTTTGCGCGTTGATGTTTTTGATTCCTGCGCTAGGATCCGCACATTCACTTCAAAATCATCGCCGTTGTGCTTTTGTGCCCTATGCGTATCTAGAGGGGTGTTTAAACGGATTTTAGCTTTTCCATCTTGATGTTCTTTTATGCGGACACAAAGTGGTCTACCCGTTTTTCATTTTTCATAATATTTCAGACGAAAGTGAGATCCCCTTTAAGCTGCCCTTCATATCAAATGAAGTAAGTCACGCCATTAAAAAGTGCTTAAGAAAAAGTGGTCTTGAAAATTATGTAACGATTGTTGACATCCCACCCAATACCCTACGCCGCCAGTTAGTTCGAACCGTCCTCTATGATCGTTTGTGCAGCTCAGAAAACTGTATGATCTGTCCTAACGGGAGAGACTGGGATTCCATGAGTTTAGGTATAATATACTTG